CCTTGCAAGCCAGGGCTTGCATGCATGCAGCACATGCAGTCATCAGAAGCATCGAGATAGTTCTCCTATGCAAAATTAATTTGTTCATATCTAGAACTTTCCAAGACAGGAAAACAACCTCAAGAGTGGATACCTATATGTTGATCTTAGAACTGGTCAGCTGGAGTGCTGCATTCCCTTGGCTACCATGGTGAGCAAACTGAATCCCTTAGAATGTGCATGTGGCAGGAGCCAATCAAATCCACATCATGGGGCTGACATTGTCCCAATAGCCTACTGTGCATTTTGAGGTATGCAGCTTTGGTTGAGAGAGAAAATATACATGGTACCAACATGAGCTCCAAATCCAGACTCCTAGGTTTGATTTCTAGTTCTACCACTTGGTAGGTGCTTTCTAGCTCCTGGCCAAGTGACTTCATTCTTCCCTCAGCTTACTCATCTTAAAATGAATGATAGCATTTCCCATTTCATAAGGTGTGGTGAGGACTGCATGCATTAATATGTCAAAAGTGCTTGTAATGACCACTGGGATGTATTATTAAAGATATTAGCTCTTATTCCAACCACTCACACCAATTACACTTCCTTTCCTCTCCTTATCCACCCCCCCTTGTTTCCCGACTGGCACAGTGGTGATTTGTGCAGCTTTCTCCTACACTTGGGCATGCATTTCTTTCAGCAAATCAAGTAATTTCATTTCTCCAGTGAGTGACCTCTGTGAGGAATAGCTAGTGATCGACTGTGGTGAAGAAAAAAAAACTTTCTTTAGACAATTTTTAAAAAAAGATTGTATTTGTGTGTGCATGTGTATATGCACGTCACAAAAGGACCACTGTGGTACTCTCTCTCTCTCTCTCTCTCTGTGTCTCTCTCTGTGTGTGTGTGTCTCTCTCTCTCTCTGTCTCTCTCTCTCTGTGTGTGCACACGTGCACACATCACAAAAGGACCACTGTGGTACTCTCTCTCTCTCTCTGCGTCTCTCTCTCTCTCTGTGTGTGTGTCTCTTTCTCTGTGTGTGTGTGTGTGTCTCTCTCTCTGTGTGCACACGTGCACACATCACAAAAGGACCACTGTGGTACTCTCTCTCTCTCTCTCTCTCTGTCTCTGTGTGTGTGTGTCTCTCTCTCTCTGTCTCTCTCTCTGTGTGTGTGTGTGTGCACACGTGCACACATCACAAAAGGACCACTGTGGTACTCTGTTCTCCCTTTACCCGCTGAGTCTCTAACTCAGGCTGCCAGGCTTGTTGGCAGGCACCTTTCCCTGCTGAGCCACCTTGCCAGACTGTAATAAACTTTCTTGAGAATGGCAGTGTTCAGGAAAACTACTTCCCAAAAGAAGCGCACTGGACGATAACTGTCTCATTTCCAATGATACTTTTCTAACTGCAACAGCAGAGCCCCTATGAAGGGAGCGTGGAGAACAAATAACAGCATAGCTGAACTGAAACATGGCCATTCCCAAGTTCCTAATCTTGGCTTCTTAGAGTGAAGCTTCCTTACTGCTTAAGCCATTTATTTTTCTAAGTAGGACGTTTTTTGTTACTGACATCAAAGCACTGTAACTGACAGGAAGTTCTTAAGTGTCTGCTGTGCTTAAGATACTTTACAGGAAACACGAACTATACAGCTGTGAACTGGATTCTCAATAAAGTTTTCAAAATGCTACAGGGAGACAAACCATGAAAACCCAAACTAGGAATAGCAGGCACTAAAACTTCAGGGCTTGGGTTGAGATGGCCTGACAACATAGGAGGTCATACACGAGGGTCGTCTCATATATGAACTCTATGAGGACTATGGATGGGCAGGAGAGGGAAGCGTGGGGAGTGCAGGGAGCCCTGAGTGAATGAATCTTTGAGTGCTGTGCTCATGGCCATGCTAAGGACCCCGGGCGGGTCCTTGGAGGAATGCCCATGCCTCCCTGCCACCTGAGAAGCTTAGGAGAGAACGGCAGTGCCCTTCACTGGGGACCAAGTGTGAGTGTTAGCAGAGTGTACAAAAAATGTTCACCATAGCCCTCTCCCCAAAATTTATGGCCTGAAAACTGCTCCACAACAGAGACCACTCCTCCAGAGATTAGCTAAGCCTGTCCCTTTGGTCTGGCTGTAGACCATACACCCCACTTCCTTGTCTGGTTAGGCAGTAACGTTGTGTCACTGTTCAGCTCTACATACTAAGCACACTGAGCTTCTGGGATTCTGAGACTTTCCCAGCTGAGTGCCAAGAGCACTTGACCCAGCTTTCCTGTCTGTCCTTTCTTCATTCACTCACCACCCTCAGTTAGACTGAAGTCCCAGGAGCCATGCTGGATGCAGCAGAGAGGGAATGTTCCAGGTGGGGGAAACAGTATAAGCAAGGGAGAGGGGCGTTAGGCTGCATCCATTTGCGAGGGTCACCATAACGAAAGCACCACACACAGGGTGGCTCAAAACTGCAGAATCAATTTCTCAAGATCCTGGTCTATAATCAGTGTCACTGTGCTTTATCTCATGCTGAAACCATGGTTCACAGATGGATGCCTACGGCTGGTGTCTGTCAAGGAAGACAGAATCAGAGTCTACCTTAATGATTTTATCTTGACTTAACAACCTTCTAAAGGCCCTGTCTACAAACACATCACAATATGAGAAAGTGGGGACTACAGATTTAACACATGAACTTTAGGGAAACAATTGAGTTCATAAGAGGGACAAAACAAAACACATTTAAGAGTTAGAGAGTATAGGGAAATGAAATTGGAAGACTATTAGGACCAGGCAGTAGGTAACTTGAATTGCTGGTCTAGATTTTGTTGGGAGGTAACCACTGGAGAAGACTACTTGGACATGGGTTCAAGTCAACAGAAAGTCTTTATTAGCTGGCTGGTGACTACAATGGATGTTTGGGACCTGAGTGCAGTCCTGAGTCTTTCTCAGGGTGAACTTTTAAGCACAAATCCATTTCCTAGGTCGACACATCTAAGTTAGCAAGAACAGTTAGCCAGGAGTGAAACCACAGAAGCCAAAAAGCACGGTTAGTAGATGTAGGGACTTTCCCAGAACTGTGGACTTTGATGGGTTGGCTCTTCGTTTCATTTTGGCAAGTACTGCTACCTAACTCCTGGGTTCTGAGGCCTGAATGGTACTTCCATCACATTGTCAGTTGTGCTAAGATCTGAGGAGCCTGTTACAATTTCACCTTTACGACAGCAAAGGTGGCAATGGAGATATTTAAGAATAATTTGGCAGCAGTATGCCACAATGCTCAATCAGCAAGTAATCAAAACTGGTTAGAACTGCTGATGTGTAAATAGTCTACACTGGTCTGATGAGGATTGAATTGAGAATGAAGGGACTCAGGTCAAAACATCATAAAAACACATGCACAGCAATGTTTATTGCAGCATTGTTCACAATAGCCCAAGCACAGCTGAGCAGGTAAAGAAGATGTGGCACACAGACAAAATGAAACTGCTTTCAGCTATAAAGAGCAAAGTTATGCCATTTTCAGGTAAATGGATGTCACTGAAAATGAGGACATTAAGCCAGTCTCAGACAGACACATATCATGCTTCCTCTCATGACTAGTTCATATATTTTAAATAGGTAAGATCATGTATGCATATATGAAAGTGGAGGCAAGGCTGTCTAGGAAAAAGGGGGACCAATGGCGGAGGGGGAGGAAAAAAGAGGAAAGAGCCTTATAAGAGGCAATATAGTCAATGTGCAATATACACTTGTCTGGAAATACCCTTATATAATACAGCACCATGTGCAAGAACACGTGCAGTGAACTTTTAAAAATCAGTCTCCCACAAAGGACACAAAAATAAAGAACGGATCACTGGACCTTCTTCAGGATCGTGTGTATGGCTGAGGGCATGAAGCTTAAATGCTTCTCTGAGAACCCAGAACAGACAGAGCATCTTGTAAATGGCCCTGAACTGCCCAGGAGAGTCACGGCAGACTAGCCATCTCTCTCCAGCTCTAGGTGGAGCAGACTTCTCCTCTCTTCTCAGATGCCCAGATCAGGATCCCCAACCTCCTACTGTCAGCTTTCAGCCATATATTCTGAAGCTATTTCCTAAATGTTCTATACATTTTAAGTAAGACATGCAAATACCCAAAGCCTATAGCATAGTCCCCCAAACATGTTCTACTGATTAAAAAGGGAAAATTATTATTTTGTGTGTACTGGTGTTGTGTCTGCCTGCGTGCCTGTGCACATCGTGCCTGTGCTCACTGAGGCCAGAGGAAGGCACTGGATCTCCTGGAACTGGAGTTGTACAGGGGGTTGTGAGCTGCCGCAGGGGCACTGGGACTCTGCTGAACCATCCTTCTAGTGACTTCTGTAGCGGTTTTCACTTTTCTATACAACGAGAGAGAAGCAATAGAGTAAGAATGTCAGGCCGAAGCTTACTTGGGACTCAGAGATAATGAAGGATGAGAATAAGTTGGTTACCAAAATATTAAGGAGTCTGGGAAAACCGATAAAGCTCAAGTGTCTCACAAATGCTTCTGTCAGTGTAGAAGTCAAAAGCTCGTCGGTCCTGGCCAGCACTTGATTAGTTCTCTGCACTAAGATTTAGCACTATCTATACTAATCTTATATAATACTTATATTTCCTTCATAATTTTACATTGTGATTTTGAGCTATATTCCAGAGGCAAAGGGGGAAAACAATCCAGGGTCTCTTCAGGGATAATTTTCCATTAACTGCTTTTACTTGTATCTTCATTTCCTCACGAGAACTGTTTCTCATACAGGAGCAGAAGTGCCAAACGCAAAATTAGCGTATGTCAATACAACTAAAGCAAGAAACTCAACACAGTCTTATTCAGAAATGCCTTTATTTCATTGGCAGAAAAGCACTAAACTTATGTTAAGAGTTTTCTTATCACAGTAAATGCACATCTCTACTAATTCACAGTGCAAGTTAAAATAGGCCTACCATACAAGATGGAGATGAATGGCTGTTGATGATAAAAACAACCCTGGATAAGCTGTCAGGAAAGCAAGGCTTCAGAATGGTAGCCTCTTACAGTTCACATAGAACTTCCAGTGTTGCTCCATTACATGGCAAGGCAGAAGCTCTTGATCGCTGATTAAAAGTATCTCTTTTATCTGTAGATAATGAGGGATGCCTGTTAAAATACAAATCACCATTTAAACCAGCTTCTTATAATGTAAGATCTGAATAGTTATTACATATCCCAGAATCTAGTCAGTCCATGCTCAGACTTGGTGTTTCTGACCAGGACATTCATCAGTCCACCTTCTGTACCTGAGATAACCTATAGGAGGGGGGGGGATGGGGGAGAGGGAGGGAGAAAGAGTCATTCATCAATTATCGAATCAAATCTTACTCTACAGAGACTGCCAGTGTTATAAGTTCACCAAGGCCGTTTTAGCTAGACATGCCACATAGTCCATTAATTGTATCCATAGCCTAGGACACCAGTGCTTCCTGTAATTAGGTATTTTAAGGGCAGTGCTTTTGATCACCAGTACTCATCTATACTCCACCTGTGACATGCCTGCCTGTGACTTTTCCTTTCACCTTACCTGGCTCATGTGCTTGGGGCTGTATTTATTCTCAACTTCTTGATTTATTTTCATCTTCAACAATCAATCAGCAGGCACCGATTCAGTGATAGGAATATAATCCCTTCAGAGGGCAGTAAGGTCCAATGGGATCTCTGCCGAGTCTTTGGGGGAGTCTCCTTTCTAGACTTGACTCAACAGGCAGACAGCTTTGTTGACAGCAGTGGGAGGCTCTTATGAGGGGCCGCAGTGTGGAAGGGACATTAGAAATGCAGTGGGTTTTTTTTTGTTTGTTTGTTTTGTTTTTTAAAGATGGGTCTCATGAATCTCAGGCTAGCCACAAAACAGTGTGACTACACCAGGGTTATGGGATTGGAGTTGAGAAGTTGAAAGAGGAGAAATTCCATTTTTAGTCATGCTATGTGAGTACTAGATAAAGCTTATAGACTTGTTCCGGCCTTTACTGACATGTACATGCACCAATAAAATTCAATTTTCGGGGATTTAAGTCAGTCTGAGTGGGGTTTTAAACTGGCACTTACAGACTGAGAGGGCAGCTTCTCTTATAACCTTAAAGACCTAAGTTTGACTCCCTAGAACTCAGGGGGAAAAAGAAAAACAGCAGACATAGAGGGTGTATCTTTGTAACCCAGCAGAAAGGGCAGTGAAGGCAGGGGGACCAGAGCTCACTGGCCACCCATCTTAGTTCTCTGGGTAAGTTACAGGCCAATGAGACCTTGTTGCAAAGAAAAAAAAAACCAAAACAAAACAAAGCAAGATAAACAAAGGAAAAAGCAAAACAAAAAACAAGGTGGACAGCAATTGAAGACCAATAACCAAGGTTATCTTCTGGCTGCCACATGTGCACACACACACACACACACACACCTGAACACATACACATCTGTTACTATAATCGAATACCTTTTACATTTAAAATATGCTCCTTATGTAAACATATACTTCCTATATTAACTGTAGAGGACACGAGGGTCCTTGTACACACAGATAAGCAAGGGGGAAGCTAAACACAGACATCCTTCAAAGGGAAGAGATGCCTAATTTGTCCTTCTGGAATTCTGGGAATAGATGTACTTTACAACCTGTCTGTCCTTTTTTCTGTCTGATGAGTCAGATTCACCTGTATTTCCCAGAAATTATGTTTTACTCATCCCAGACCCTTCCCCTTAATCCTGAGTATTACTTCTAGGTCATAAAACTCGTCCTCGTGATGATGTTAGTATTTTACAACTGCCCAAGTGACTTCTATGTCATCTTAGGGCCAGGCCAACCATGAAACCCACAGGGGTGGATTTACCTAAGTCACACTCCCTAGACCCTTACTATGAGCAATATTTTTAAATCAACAGGAACCCATCTCACAGGCAAAGCCATATGTACTTTGTGAAGAGCTTCAATGTAAACATGTCTTACACTTTGTTTTACTCACCAGCCTGAGTTCATTGTTATCTGAAAACTTCTTTCCAAAATCGTGCTATGCTTAAATATGGCAAAAAAAAAAAAAAAACAAACAAACAAAAAAAAACATTCAAACCGATGTCAGACTCTTGAAGTCTTGGTCCAGCATTGGTTACAGAAATAGGGCTGAACTGAGTTTCATTCTTCCCTCAGCCAGATTGTTGCCCTACTGGCTGTAAAGCCTTGCGGGGACCTCCCACAATTGACAACTGTATTCTTCACAGATCTCAAACCGAACTGATGGGCTTCAACCTTGAGCATGTATCACCACACCCTGTTTTCAGAAACAAGGTAACCCATAAAAGCTGGGGATGGGAGATATTGCTCAGGTAAAACTCTCAACAGCAAGGTCCTCAGACTGCCTCCATAAGACGCTGCACCTACATTTGCTATGTTCTGAGTGCTTAATCCATCTGCGACAGTTTATTTCTAATTTATGCTTTATATCCACCATGGGCTATTTGTAAGCAAAGTGACTAGGCTGCGAATATGTACATACTTCACATTTCAGACACGTCTGCCAGCGTCCACATAAAGTCCCCTTCTTTACTACCAGTATATGAATACCTGGGAAGATGCCTATTTTCTACTCCACATCCTTAATAAAACTGCACAGTGTCAATGCTTAAAAAGCTATCCCACTCTGGTTGTACAAAATAAAACTACTGTTTTCACTGATACCTTCAGAGGTCTAGTATGAGCATCTTTCACGTGGAGTTAAGGCCCTTTAAAAACCTCTAGACCCAGGAAGGTGCCTATTAAAGATTCTGTTGGCAGTGACTGATCAGACAGCAACCCAGAATGCACTGTTGATTAAGTCAGGAATTTAATCTGCATATGTATCAAAATTCCTCTTTCAAGCCGTACGATCAGCTCACTGGGCACAAGATACCATGCTTAGTTAAATCAGGTACTCCAAGAGGGAGGAGCTTGTTGCATGTCTCTCTAACAAGAGACTGCTCACTGCAGCACTAGCTCTATGCACAAAAACAGTTTCAGAAAATCTCTGCCTGTAGTTCTCATTCTGGGGACACTAAAATAAAGGGGATTTTTATTTGCTTATTTTTAGATGAGATTCCATTATCCCATTATATAGCACAGGCTGATCTTAAACTTATCGGGGAAGCAGGGATCTACTGAGAAACCAAACTTGGGGATTCCTATATGTGGTTGCAAAGGGGCAGAGTAGGAAGGCCCCAGCCGAGAGGGTATATACCAAAGCTGATGCACAATATCCTACCACCTCAGGCCAAGACTCCTTTATAGACTCAAGTTCTTTATAATGGGCCCAACTCTTAATTTTAACATTCATTGTTTTAAATTCAGTGTTTAGACAGGTCCACTGCTCTAATTTCTTTCAATCTGTTTATGTGGTAGACGATGTTTATTGCTTTGCATATGTATGTTGAATTGTCCCTGACCCGCTAAGTGAACTTGACCATTGTTGATAATCTTTTTGATGTGTTGTTGTGTTCTGTTTGTAAATATTTTTTTAAAAAATTGTTTATTTTTATCTTGTGTGCATTATTGTTTTTGCCTGTATGTCTGTGTAAGGGTGTCAAATCTTAAGAGTTAGACAGTTGTGAGCTGCCATGTGGGTGCTGGGAATTGAACCTGGGTCCTCTGGAAGAGCAGTCAGTGCTCTTAACCACTGAGCCATCTCTCCAGCCCCACTGCAAATATTTTATTGAGAATCTTGCAATGATGTTCATAAGGGGTATTTATAATTTTTTTTTTTTTTTTGGTTGTTGTTGGGTCTTTGTGTGATTTTGGTTTCAGGGTAATTGTGGCCTTGTAAAAGGAATTAGGAAATGTTCCTTCAGTTTCTATTTTGTGGAATGATTTAAGCAGGATTGTGTTCATTCTTCTTGAAAGGTCTGGTAGAATTCTGCATTAAATCCATTTGTCCCTGGGCTTTGTATTTATTTATTTTTGGTTGAGCGAGGAGACTTTAGTGTTCTGTACCCTTGACAGGCACTGCCTTTTGTTGTATGCTGTGCTTCAGCTACATTGCACTTAATCAGGGCCCACTGTAATAGGGTGACATGCTTCTGGAAGACTCATACTGTCCTAACTGTTCTTGATTGTGCTTTTGTGCTGGGATGTAGGGTTATGTTTATAATTTTTTAATTAATATCTAGTCTTGACTTTGTTGGGTGGGTATTCTATTCTTCGGTTGCTGTTGCCTGCCCTCTTGGATTTTAGCCAAATGTGGTGGCTATTGGGTTGTTGGTAGAGAATGATTCTGTTGGTCAGGTCAGTGGGTGGCAGAAACATATAGAGGTCATCTAGGAAGAAAGGTATCAAGTGGCCCCTGGAAAGAGCAAAGGAGACTGAAGTCTGCATCAAGAGATTATGTATCCTAGGGAATTCAGGTAGGGTAAGAGGAGGGTCTCCTGCAAGTGGCTGCTACAGGACAAAAAGTAAAGTCTGGAGAGAGTGCAATAGATGGCAGGAAAGATAAAGAAAACCACATGAACCCCACCCCAGTGTGGCCCCTGGGAGTCCCTGGAAGAATGCTTCTGAGGACTAGTGACTAACTCAAAGGAACAGAGATGGGTTAAAAAGAGAAGGCTAAGAGTGTATGTAGGAAAGTGCTAAGTTGGGTCTCCATCAGAGTCCCTAGGGGATGGAGGTAGGGTGGGAGGAGGGGCTTTTGCACTAGGACAAAGAGTAAGGATGAAAGGCTAAGGGGAGTCCCGCATCCCTACCAGAGCACAGTCCCCAGGCAATGGTGTTAGGGTGGGAGGAGGGCTCCTATAGGCAGGCTGCTATAGGACTAAGAATATATCTTGAGAGATCTTTTTTATTCAAGATCTGATCATCATTTATTTGTTACTCTTAAAGACTTCCTTTTGACAGGACTCAGACTTAGAAGTAGCAGCATTCAATGAGTACAGCCCATGTCTTTTGGCAACCTGTTCCTGGTTTCTTTGGCTTCCTTCATTCTCTTGGCCAAAGTTGAGCAGATTCTACTTAGTGAGAAGATTTTCTTAGTGTGTTGTTTCTTCAGAGTAGTATGTCAGTGTTCAAGTTCCAGGACACATGGACCCACTGAATTTTGGGTGCTTTGGCCTTGGGCTTCTTACAACTGTTGGTGGGCGTCATTTTAGAGATTGAA